CCTTCCAAAGTGCTGGGATTACAGGCGTAAGCTACTGCACCTGGCCAGGGTTCATTCATATTGTAACATGTTATCAGTATTTCATTTCTTTTTATTGCCAAATAATATTTCATTGTATGGATATAACACAGTTTGTTTATTCTATAGCTGATGCATACTTGTTTCCTCTTGGCTAGAATGAATAATGTTGCTTTGAAAATTCATTTACAAGTTTTTGCATGAACATATGTTTTCATTTTTTGGGGGTACATATATATCTAGAAGTAAAACTGTCAAATCAGATGGTTACTCTTATGTTCAACCTTTTGAGGGACTGCCATACTGCTGTAAAGCAGTCGCACCCTTTATATTTGCACCACCAGTGTATGAGTGTTCCAATTTTGCCACACCTTTGCTGACACTTGGTTTTTTGTTTTTATTATAGCCATTCCAGTGGGTGGGAATTAGTAGCTCATTGTGATTTTGATTTGCATTTCCTGATGGCTAATGATGGTGAGCCTCTTACCTCTTTTGAAAAAATGTTTATTACTCCTGACCTCAGGTGATCCACCTGCCTCAGCCTCCCAGCCTCCCAAAGTGCTGGGATTATAGATGCGAGCCACCGCGCCTGGCCCTGGATTCACAATTCTAATCCGTTGATTTATATGCCCATCCTTATAATAGTACAATACAGTCTTGATTACTATAGGTTTGTAGTAAGTTTTAAATAAGGGTGAGTCTTGCAACTTTATTTTTTTGAAGATTATTTTGGCTGTCCCTTGAATTTTTATATGAATTTTAATATCAGTTTATCAATTTCTGCAGAGTCCAGCTTGGATTTGATAGGAATTGCATTGAATCTATAGATCAATTTGAGGAATATTATAACCTGAAAAATTTGAAATCCTCCAATTCACAAACAAAGGACATCCTTTTATTTATTTAGTTATTCTTTCATTTCTTTCCACAGTGTTTTTTTAGCTTTCGGTTTATAAATTTTGTACTTATTTTATTAAATTTATTTCTGAGGTTTTCATTCTTTTTGATGCTGTTGTAAATTGAATTGTTAATTTCACTTTTGGTTTATTTGTTGCTACTAATGCTATATGTTTTAATGTGTTATATTTTCATTTTATTCAGGATAATGCACTTTTCTTGGTGGGGGGAGTGGGCAAGGTCTTGGTCTGTCACCCAGGCTGGAGGGCAAAGGCGTGATCTTGGCTCAATGCAGCCTTGGCCTTCTAGACACAGGCAATCCTCCCACCTCATCCTCCTGAATGGCTGGGACTACAGGCACATACCACCACGCTCAGCTAATTTTTTTGTATCTTGTAAAGACAGAGTTTCACCATGTTGGCCAGCCTGGTCTTGAACTCCTGGACTCAAGTGATCCTCTCACCTTGGCCTCCCAAAGTGCTGGGATTACAGGCATGAGCCACCATGCCTAGCCTTTTTTTAATTTCTAGAGACACACGGATTTTTCTCTTTGACCCACAGATTATTTTAAAATGTGGTTTAGTTTCCAAGTGTTTGGAGATTTTCTTGTTATCTTTCTGTTACTGATTTCTAATTTGATTCCATTGTTGTTGGAGAACACATTCTGTATGATTTCCATTCTTTTAAATTAGTTGAGATTTGTTTTATGGCCCAGGATATGATCTCTCGTGATAGATGTTCTGTGGACACTTGAATATGTATCTTGCAGTTGTTGGGTGCAGCATTCTATAAATGTCTATTAGATCCTGTTAGTTGATGTTATTGGGGTTTTCTATATCCTTCCTGACTTCCTGTCTACTGCTTTTATCATCATTTAGAGGGACTGAAGCCTCCAACTGTAACTCTGGATTTGTCTATTTCTTATTTCAATTCCTTCAGTTTTTGTTTCACATCTTTTGCAGCTCTATTGTTAGGTACATACACATTCAGGATTTCTGTTTTCTTGTGAATTGACTCTTAAATCTTTATACTATGTCACTGTCTCTGGTAATTTTCTTTGCTCTGAAGTCTATCTGATATTAATGTAGCTACTTCTGATTTATTTTGTTTCCATGATGTATTTTTTCTATCTTTTATTGCAACTTGCCTGTATCCTTATATTTGAAGTGAATTTTTTGTACGCAGCATATAATTGTGTCATATTTCTTAATCCATTCTGATAATCTGTCTTTTAATTGATGTATTTACACTATTTACATTTAATGTCATTAATGATATTTTAAGACTTAAGTCGGCCATTTTTTTTGTTTTGCTTTCTGTTTGTGCTGTTTCTGTTTTCTTTTTCCTACTTCCTACTTTCCTGTGAGTTATATAAACATTATTTAAAATGCTGCTTTTCTTTATTTACATAGTTTTTTTGTTTGTTTCTTTGTTTTTGAGATGGAGTCTTGCTCTATTGCCCAGGCTGGAGTGCAATGACATGATCTTGGCTCATGGCAGCCTCTGCCTCCTAGGTTCAAGTAATTCTCCTGCCTCAGCCTCCTGGGTACCTTGGATTATAGGGGTGAGCCACCATGCCTGGCTAATTTTTGTATTTCAGA